CTTGCCTATAATCCCAGCTACTCGGGAGGCTGAGGCAGGAGAATCACTTGGACCTGGGAGGCAGAGGTTGCAGTGAGCCGAGATCACCCTACTACACTCCAGCCTGGGCAACAGATAGAAATAATGAAAAACAGCACTGTTTCAAGCCACATAATTTTGCCATAATTGTGGGCTAGCCTGGGCACCTCACACATTTGATATGGCATTGTATCTAGAAAGGAAGCATCTAGCGGGAGCAGGTCACTTGGAGATGCTGAGAACAGATCCCCCTCCCCTGCCCCTCACCAACCCCGGCCCTCCCAACCCAGCTGCAGCTGCCAGAAACCAAGAGGGCCTGGGCAGCTCACAGGCAGCCTGAGGACACAGGGGTCCCTGTCGGAGACAATGACCTTCCTGTCTTTGAGATTCTTAAGGTCAGGCTCCAGCCCTGAGCCACATTCTCTTGATTCTTAAAATATTCTTAAGAAGCAAAAAATAATATTCACAACTTATAGATGAAGACAATGTGGTCCGTAGAGAATGATCAGAGCCTGGGAGGGTCAGGACGCCTGGCCATGGCTGCACTTGTGTTTTGCATGTGGACACACTCATGCAGCCTTCAGCTGTGGGAGGAGGTGACTCCCTTCGTGTGAACAGCCTGAGGTGGGAGGGGTTACACAGCATCATAAGGGGCTGGCAGGGGCTTAGAGATCAAGCCCTTTTATTTTACAGCAGAGAAGCAGAGGGTTGATCACATGGCTGGTGGGTGGCAGGGGTTTCTGACTCCCAGCTCACTGCTCATTCCGCTCCTCCACATGACTCTGTTGTTAGCTAAAGAGTTTCTCCTGAATTATGAATGAGTGAAAGGAAATTACGTACGTATGGATGTGCTCACGGGCATGTGTAAGGCAGAGGGAGATTCACAGAGAGTATGCAAGTACCTGTGCTGTGAAAATCGGGATTGCTTTGAAACACTGACTCATAGTCATCCTAGCTCTGGTAAAGGTGAGTTCAGCTTTAGAAACAAGCATATTTAATCCATTCATAACTGAGTTTCACTTTTCACATGCCTCTGGCAGCCCCCAGGGAATGACAAGACCAAGCACGATGTCCTCCTGGTTAGAGAACTCTGCCTGCTCACCAAGTTGTCTGGCCAGTACTTCTTGGCATGCTGTCTGCTTAGGAGCAAGACTTTTCCACATCCATCATGTCTTACTGTTGACCTATCACATCTGCCTGTCCCAGCTGCAGCAGGCTCCACCCGTCTGTCTTCCTGACACCTTCACCACAGCTGGAGAGGGAGTGGCTAGTGGATTTATCATTTTTGTGAGCACAGACCACTGTGAGGCTCTGCAAACCTGCCATTGGAAAGTTCCATTTGTCTTCCTTTCTAAAGCAAATCTATGTGCTTTGGATCAGGAGCAGCTCCCAAGGTGTGACTTAGGCTGCCTGCTGCCCTCTGTCTTGTATGACTAAAAGGTCCCCTAAGAAACACGCCCGAGCCAGGCCCCTGCTGCCTCCGCTCCATCCTGGAAAAGTGAAAAGTGCCCACAGCAAGCACCAGGTACCAGGAACAGAGCCCACTTTGCCATCTCAGTTATCTCTTTCCTTCCACAGCAATTGCCCCGAGAGCCTCCTCCTTAACAACAAACCAGCCACCTGGCTCAGCCCTTCAACACTGTTTTTGGAGGTCCCTGACCTAGCTCAAAGGACTGTAGGTTCCTGTGAATGATCCTGTTAATTGGTCTGGGTTTTCCTCCCCTTCCTGTCAAATGCAGGAAATTAGATTTGACCTCTGCTCTGATCACTCTAAAATTATTCTTGGCACTGAAGACTTCCAGCCTTTGTAATCAGAGCATCTATTATCACCCTGATTAACGCCGATGTTCTGATGGGGCGGGATCCAAAGGCAGTGTGATTTCCGTGATTCCTCGTCCCCATGTTGAGTGCAGATGTCTTTAAATGGAGTGAAATCATCTTTAATAAGCATGGATCTGCATTCAGATGGCTCCAGGGTGCATTAACAGATTCCCAGAAAAATGCCCCGTGCCAAACCACCTTATGGGACCCTTCCAGGTCCCACAAGGAAGAGGCAGGGAAAATCTCAAAGTCAATCCAATTCTCAGCCAAACCATTATGTGTTTAGGACAGACGCAGAAATGTGATGCTGTATTTTCCTCAGTGCTAATGGAGCAGCATGCACGTCTCAGGCACATTAAAAAGAGGAAGGAGACAGAGACAGCAGAAAGCCACTGTGCCCTGAGATCTAAAGAAGGGAAATCAAGTGAAGGCTTCTCAACTTCTAACTAGAATTCTGTAGGAAAGCTGCTTCATTGTTCAGAGCCTTGACTTTTTTCCAGCCTTAAAATACAAGTAAAGATTACACACACGGGCTTTTGTATAAGTTACCTAGACTGTGTCTACAGAGTATATTGATTCATCTCACATTTATCAAGCCCATATTTATAAACACAGTCATGCATCACTCAATGGGATACATTCTGGGAAATGCATCCTTAGGTGATTTCGATGTTGTGTGAAAATCATAGGTTGTACTTGCACAAACCTAGATGGTATAGTCTACTATACACCTAGGCAGTGTGGCATAGCCTATTGCTTTTAGGCTACAAACCTGTACAGCATATTACTGTACTGAATACTATAGGAAATTGTAGCACAAATCACTAGGTAATAGGAACTAGAATCATTATCATCTTATGGGACCACCGTCCTTAGGCGGCACATGACTGTATATGTACTCCGAGCCATGGAGGAGTCAATGATTATAACCCCTGTCATGAGAGGATCACATTTGTATTTTTCACCAAACACTTCACCCAGCACGTGGTACAGAGAAGGTGCTCAGTCAATGTTTGTGGAGTGAGTGGGAGGAATCCTCAGGAAATTAAAATCTAACTAGAGGTTATAGAGAAGTTCATAAATAATTGTACTACAAAGCGGAATGTGAAAGCACATTAAGAGACAGATGAACAAATAAAGATGTAGGAATAAAGGGGTAGGAGGCTGGGTGCTGTGGCTCACACCTGTAATCCCAGCACTTTGGGAGGCTAAGATGGGTAGATCACCTGAGGTCAGGAGTTCCCAGCCAGCCTGACCAACATGGTGAAACCCCGTCTCCACTAAAACACAGGAATTAGCTGGGCGTGGTGGTGGGCGCCTCTAATCTCAGCTCCTCGGGAGGCTGAGGCAGGAGAATCGCTTGAACCTGGGAGGTGGAGGTTGTAGTGAGCAGAGATCGCGCCACTGCACTCCAGCCTGGGCAACAAGAGTGAAACTCTGTCTCAGAAAATAAATAAATAAAATACAATAAAATAAAGGGGTAGGAAGGTGACGTGCAGGCTGCAGGAAGTACAGAACATTTCTGTTCATGAAGGCGTCAGGTGGAACATGAGTGGGAAGGAGAGAGGGTAAATGCCTTCTAGGTTGAAGCCAAAGCACTAGCCACAGGCAGAGGAAGGAAGCTGGGGAGACATCCGGTCGGTCACAACAAGTGTACCCAGACAGACAGGTGGTGCACAGGAGATGAGGGCTGTGGGGAAGGGAGGGAGGCTCCTGCCCTTGGTGGAGCACTTGACATAGGTCAGACTCGGGGCAGGGCAGTATCCCATCTCTGTCCTCACACCTGCCCCTCCAGGTAGAAAGCACGGCCATTTCACACATGAGCTACATCCTGGTCCAATCACCAGCAAGCGGCAACTCCAGGATCTGTCCCTAGGTCTCTCTGGCACCAAAGCTCTTCTCCCCCTCCATTAAGAAAGAAAAATATTATTAAGACCAAGAGAGCCCTTGACCTTGAGGTAGAAAGAGGACTCAGTGTGTTGGTAAGGGGGACCCATGGAGAGATGGGTCTTAGGGAGAACATGAGGCAGTGGTAGTTGTAGGCAGTAGGAAGAACAGGGCATGGCCCAAAAATACCCATTAGGAACCCATGGCAGGGGGTTAGGTGGCAGGCTCTGGGACTGGGATAGCAGGGTTGGAAGAGAGGACACCAGCATCAGAGGCATTCTCCCAAGAGCTTCAGAATAATTAAATGTGGGAAGCACAAAAAGAGGAGGAGGAAGAGGTAGGTTCCCCAAATGGGGGAGATAGGAAGAGGAGCTGGCTGTAGGGAAAGAGGATTAATTAGTTCGGGACATACACACACAAAAATCAACCCGTAAGTATTGCCAGCCATTGAATTCATTGCTCTCTTCCTCCTTCACTGCCCTGAGCCTTTTCACCTGCTGCATGGGAAATACCCTATGCAACCATTTCCCAGGGACCAGCTATGGACCAGGCACAGGTTAGGCCCTTTGTGGTCAGGGAGTTCGCAGTGCAGCGGGGGAGACCCAGGCAAATGCTCTGACAGCCCCAGAGGGCCATGCAAGGACTCGGTGTGTACCTGAGGCAGTGAGTGAGGGGACATCCTCTTTCTGCATGTGTGACCAGGGATGGCTCTGAGGATGCTGCCGCAGACTTGCATTCTGCAGAGACCGTGAACGAGAACCAAAAGCTACCTCAATTCTGCCATGCCTCTATCATCTCAGTGTGAAGGCCAAGGAGGCAGAAAGGACCCCAAGTCACTGGCCTCACTGATGTGATGAGGCTCATCTGGACACTCATCTTAGCGCACTTGCCCTGGTCACCAGGTACCCAGGCTCAGGAGGCCCTGGGCCCGCTGAGAGAGAACTGAGCAGGAGAGTCTTGAAAACTTCAACTCGGGTGGGAATTCTAGCCTATTGAAGGGAATCCACTGTCTCGCGCTTCTTCTCCTGGGAGAGCAGCGAGCTTTGGCATAGATGGGGAGGGTAATGTATCTAGGAGTGGCCTTCCGTGCTCTGGGCTGCTGATAGAGCTGCCACTCACAGTCTTTCCCTGTGACAGGAGGTCACTTGGGTCAGCTCCTTGGACTCATGGGCACTGAAGACCCCCCTTCCAGGCTAGGTGGGGGCAGGCAGCACCAGGTAGGTGCCTGGCCCTGTCCCACTGGCTCACAGTCTCCCTCTATGTACCCCATCCAGCCTCAAGCCCTTCTCAGGATGTGCAGGATGCCAGACGGCCACGGAGCAGGAACCCCTCCGCCTGGACTGTGGAGGACGTGGTGTGGTTTGTGAAGGACGCCGACCCGCAGGCTCTGGGGCCTCACGTGGAGCTCTTCAGAAAGCACGTATGCGAGTGGTGGGTTTGACCTTGGGGGGATTGGGGGAGCAGGCATGGAAGGAGAGTGAGGTTCAGGGAGCTGCGGGATGCTGCCAGGGGAGGTGTAGGGGGAGCTCTAAACTAAGCCCTAGGGACACCCTCAAGGGAGCCAGAGATGAGAGGGACAGGTACAACCACAGGCTCCTCAGAGCAGAACGACCACTTAATTTGTTTTTAAAGGAATATTTGCCCCATCTGTTCTCTCATGTTGGCCTTCATCAGGAGTGCCTGCTTCCTGCCCATCCAGCCGTCTGTGCATACAACAAATATTGACAGCACACCTACGACATACCAGGCAAACCGCAGTAGTGCCTGTTCCTAAACCACTTCAAGGATTAAATAAGAAAATGCACAAAAGGTGTTCAGCACGGTTCCTGGCTCAGACAGCCTTCACTGAGCAGAGAGCTTTATGAGGATTTTGAGATATGCTAAAATATAGAGAGATGGTAATTTTTTTTTTAAAGATAAGAATCAGTAATTTACCTGCTAGGCTTACTATACTCATTTTGTTTTTGTTTGAGACGGAGTCTCACTCTGTCACTCAGGCTGGAATGCAGTGGTGAGATCTCAATCTTGGCTCACTGCAGCCTCTGCCTCCCCAGTTCAAGCAATTCTTGCGCCTCAGCCTCCCGAGCAGCTGGGATTACAGGCGCCCGCCACCATGCCCGGCTAATATTTGTATTTTTAGTCGAGACAGGGTTTCACCATATTGGCCAGGCTGGTCTCATCCCAAAGTGCTGGGATGACAGGCATGAGCCGCCGCGCCTGGCTCTGTACTCATTTTGTATCGTGCTGTAACAGATTACCACCAGCATAGTGGCCTCACACAATCCACCTTCTCTGTCTAACCGCTCTGGGGTTCAGGAGCCTGGCATGGGTCTCACTGGGCTCAGCCAGCAAGGCTGCCTTTCCTTCTGGAGGTTCTAGGAGAATCCACTTGGTTGTCTTTTCCGGCTTCTAGATCCACCATCAGTCCTTGGCTCCCGTCCCCCTGCCATCGTCTTTAAAGCCTGTAACATCAAGCTGAGGCCTGTTTGCTGCTCGGGCTGCCATCCCCGGTTGTCGCTGCTGATGTCCTCTTCCACGTTTAAAGAGTTTTGTGATTACACAGCCGCCCCCTCCCCACCCACCCGGCCCCATAATCCGGGATAATCTCCCTACTTTAAAGTCAGCGGATTAGCAAGCTTAATCCCACCTGCAGCCTTAATTCCCCTTTGCCGTCTAACTTGACATTCACAGGTTTGGGGACTAGAATCCAGACATCGTGCGTGGAGGGGAAGGAGCGTTATTCCGCCTTCCGCCGTGACCATTATTTTTGTTTCCTGTTTCTCACTTTATTTGGTGATTCTGTCATAGAAATCATGCTCTCCGATCTGAGGAGGATTCTCATCTCACTCAGCACTCGTCTTTTATTAGGCATATGTTGGCCTCACCTAACAATGGGGCCTTGAGACCAGGAACCACAGAGTGGGTTATGCTTGGACAGATTTGGGCAGGGGGAGTCTGGCTGTCTTCCAGGGTGGGAGGAGACGGTGGGAGGCCAGGAGGTGAGGGAAATAAAAGACAGTAGAAAATGAGGCTCCTGGGAGCGGCCCACAGGTAAGCCTTGCCCACTGCCGTGTTGTCAAAGACATGGAGAGTGAGTGACACAGAGTGGGTGCTCCATCAATACTGGTTGGCTGGGCAGATGAATGAGAGGGCTGGTGACCCTGGCACCGTTACATGAGTCCTGTAACTATGTCTCTTCTCCCCGCCTGAGCACCTCAAATTTCTACCCTTTGTCTCCAGTGACCTGAAAATAGCACTAAAGGTGACCAAGGAAGCCCAGGCTTGCTAGGTTCATGAACTCAGCATGCATTCTGGAGGGTGACCCTTTTCAATGACCAGTGGCAGCAGCACCGGGACCAAACCGCAAAGGACTGGTTCATCCCCTTAGTAGTTCTTTGTGCTGAACCCTGAGATGAAGCAGGTGCATTCTTTAGTGTATTCCGTCTAGTGGAACAGACAGGGCTAAACACATCTGAAATCCTCCATTGGGTGGAATGAGTAGTTTTGTCATCAGCTAAAGGTAGGTGGGCCTACCAAGAAAAGAAATGAGAAATTAGGGCAATAGGTGGAGGTTTGGAATGGAAAGACCCTCTAGTTTCAGTGTCTAATGGATGACACTTCTTGCCCCTTTAGCCAAGGTTGGATGAGGAGATAAATTTCCTAAGTGGGATATTGAGAACACACATGGGGTTGTGTTTGATTCCTTCTATGAGGGGAGGGCAGGAATATGAAACATCCCATGTATCAGATGACTACAGGGAGATGATGGGGAGAGGAGAACACAGCATTTGTTTGCTTTAATATTTTAAAAGATCTTGCCCGAGGACCAAGAGAATATGCTGCCTAAACCAATCCATATGCCCTGAGCACATCCCCTGACCATACCTTAACCTTAGCCACTGTTTGATGACTCTGACCATCTTCTGGGTTTTCTTTCTTCTGATCCTATCCCACCAGGAGATTGATGGCAATGCTCTGCTGTTGCTGAAGAGTGACATGGTCATGAAGTACCTGGGCCTGAAGCTGGGACCCGCACTAAAACTCTGCTACCACATTGACAAACTGAAGCAAGCCAAGTTCTGACTTTTTAAAAAAGCCACAAGCGAAACCCAAAACAACAGATCTCAAGATTATCTTCTGCCTTACCAACATCCCACCAACATCACAAAATAGACTCTCCTCTTAAAATTAACAGCCACAAAGACGTGGTCTTTTTATAAAACTTGTGAATTTTTGCCTTTTAAAGAATTTAACGTGAACCTTTTTGAAAGGCTCCTCTGTGTTAATAATTTGCCAAAAAATTACAAAAGCCTCTGATTTTTAGCATCCCTGTTATGCTGATTTCTCTTAAAGTGGGTCCTATTTGCATAACGAGAGAGTGGGGAACTGAATGCTTATGTCCAAGGAAAGTTCTGGAGGGTTCAAAGGATGAAAGAAGGACCTTTGTCCCTGCAGTCTCCGCAGGGACACCCACCTCAGCACCATCTGCCTCTAACTCTGACCTGGGGACCTATCCGTGTGAGCCTTGTTTGCCTCAGCTCTGGAAGCTGACTTCTGAAGATGACTGCCTCACCTTGCACTATCTGGAAAACTTGAATTATTTTGCTCCATGAAAGAAAAGGAAAAAAAAAAAAAATCTTTTCTATTCCTAGAAAATCTGAAGTACTGTGTTGCTCCGCTAGAGGGCAGACTGCTAATGAAATTTCAGGACCCTCACTGACTGCAGTAGCAAGATTATTCAGTACTGAGTGGATGGGTTACGGTGTCTGTGAACAAGATCTAGCCCACACAGAAACAGGGGATTTATTCCACAGTTAGCACCACAGATTGCGACTTGGGAAGAAACCATCAGCTAGAGGGGTCTAGTTCGTATCCAATCATTATTGACTGACTGACTGATACTCAACTAGCAAAGGCAAGAATTTGGAAGCACGCTCTACCCAGATGGGACTTTGGAGTTCCTTCTCTTCCAGAGTCCTCATTGAGGTGTTGAAGTGTTGGCATGCCGAAGAATCTTAGTGACATTTAGCCATGGGTGTTTCTTTAAAAAAGGAAAAGAAAATGTCTCAACGAAGCTTTGAAATGGGAGAGTGTTGATTTCTAGTTACATTGCTGGGTAATGTAGTTGTATCTGTGGCTAATTTTTCTAGTCCTCAACAAATACACAGACATGCTATTATGGGGTTTAATTCAATTTACAGATAGGTTTTCCTTCCTCACCATAGAGTAATAGAAAAAATTGATTTTCTGCCCCTTTGCAGCTGTGTCCAGAGAAGGACAATGAATCCACAATTTATTAGGCAGAGGGACAACTTCTCCACCATTCATTTTATCCTTCCCTTTTCTCTGTTTCCCTCCCTGTCTCTTCTTCTTCTTCACACTGAGCAGAAAACATATCTTCAAAATGAATTCACCTTTGCCATGTGCATAATCTCTTCCTTAAGAGGACATCAACAGTGTCGGAGATGAGGAGATGAACATTAGATTTTGGAATTTCTGGGAGGGAGAGGGTTAGGGATGACTCAGGGCCTCCCTTGGCCCAATGGTGAATCAGAAAAGGCACCCATTTCTCTGGAATACAACCTGAGCAGGGGTCTCAGCTAGCAAGTGGAGCAGGGTGGGAGCTCAACCTCCTCACCCCTTGATCAGCTGCCGTTGTGCAGAACATGAATTGCATAACCTTGAGGGCAGCCCTGGGTAGATCTGCATAGTGACCCTCTATATAGTTAGAATCCAGATGAAGGCCATAAGAAATAGTCCATGTCATGCCATTAGACCCGCTTTGATGTGCTGTATTTGAGAAAGCACATCGTAGCCTCCTTTTCAGACACACAAATGGTGGCTGGACTGACAGCATAGCAGAGAAGGGGAGGAGGAGAATGTACTAAACTTGCTCACTGAATTGAGCTAGAGTGTGGAAGAGCTTGATATCTGATGGTTTTGTTACAGGAAGGGGTTCCCGATCCAGACCTCAAGAAAGGGCGCTTGGATCTCATGCAAGAAAGAATTCAGGGCGTGTCCACAGAGTAAAGTGAAAGCAAGTTTATTAAGAAAGTAAAGGAATGAAAGAACGACTACCCCATAGTCAGAGCAGCTCTGAGGGCTGCCAGTTGCCCATTTTTATGATTACTTCTTGATACTATGCTAAACAAGGGGGGATTATTCATGCCTCCTCCTTTTAGATCATATAGGGTAACTTCCTGACATTGCCATGGCATTTGTAAACTGTCACGGCACTGGTGGGAGTATAGCAGTGAGGACAACCAGAGGTCACTCTCGTTGCCATCTTGGTTTTGGTGGGTTTTAGCCAACTTTTTTACTGCAGCCTGTTTTATCAGAAGGTCTTTATGACCTGTATCTTGTGCTGACCTCCTATCTCATCCTGTGACTCAGAATGCCTTCGCCACCTGGGAATGTAGCCCGGTAGGTCTCAGCCTCATTTTACCCAGCTCCAATTCAAGATGGAGTTGCTCTGGTTCAAACGCCTCTGACAGGTTCAGCACCTGAGAAAAGTACCTTGAATCAGGCGTTGGGGCAGAGTCTTCAAGATTTTAAGGTGATAGGTCCTGTCTCTCAAGAGTTTATTAATCGTAAGTGCTCACTGCTGGTCTAGAGTTAGATACATTTCCCTCAAAACAGCCACGGACAGGTTATGTATTCAGAACTGCCAGTGCGAGAACAATGAGATCCAGAAAAATCCCACAACAACCCAGGTTTTTCACTCATCTTTTTTTTTTCTCAATCTTCCGATACTTGTGGTACCTCTTCCATGAACAGATACCTCATGTAGTGACTTCCAGTATTAAGTTTTCAAAACTTCCTACCCACCCTCGTCAGTGCCTCCCTCACTACAGAGTCACAAACACTGGTGCTCTCAAATAAAAATCAGTCCCAAACAATGTCATAGAGATCCCTCGAGTAGTTTTCAGGGGAGAGATAGGTTCTCATTTGAAGTCTCGGAGAAAACTGGATCCATGTTCACGTGGAACTGCTCTCACGGAGGTGCTATCTCATTTCGCATTAAACTTTAAGCAGGACAGATTGCTGAAGCCATGATATTTAAGGTTTGACTTTTTAAAAATCTCATTACTCTTAAAATAAATGCTGCCACATCAGAGAATAACCTGGGGAGGAAAATCTTCCTTGACTGCTTCTGCACTGAAATGCAATTAGCCAACTAAATTATTGTAGCAATACTGCAATTATAATTAATTTTCACCCCTCTCAAAAATCTTGTCAAACCAGGAGGCTAAATAGCTTCACAAATGTAAAACACACCAGGCCATTTCCTCTAAACAGACCTTAAAGGGTTAGGCCACGTGGGTCACCCTTGTCCAAATGAGAACCGACTTGAGGGCCTCGCACTTGTATAGATATGGTACTTGTTATTCCATTGCAGTAGCTTTGCTTCAGGTTGTAGTGAATAATGATATCATTTTGCATAATTCCAAATTAGAGTGTGTATGTGTGTGTGCCTGTGTTCATGCTCCAAACATTTCCAATTACACTTGTCTGTTAAACACCGAAAAAAAAAAAATCAAGAGACAATTCTATTGCCTAAGGCCTTTTAAATATTTCATGAATCACATTATTCCCTGTGCGAAGACTTTAGGTGAAAGCCGTGGGTCTTGTCTGTGTGTGTGTGTGTGTGTGTGTGTGTGTGTGTTTCCTGACACTGCAGTTGGAAGAGCCTTAGGAAGTGAGTACTTGGGAGTGTACGAGCCATTGCCTTTGCTTGGTTTGCAATACGGAGGCAGAACCCACTGTGGTCTGGTTGCTACTACTAAGTGCCCCCTCTTATTCTACTAGGGTATGCTCTTGAGGAAGCCGGGTGACCAGGGCTGCTCTGGGACTCTGGGCCTGCCCCCTCAGGAGGATGATTGTATGTGCCAAGCCTGGGCTCCAGGTGACTCTGGGGAAACGCCTTGCTGGGGAGCCCACGGCAGGGAACAATTGTCTTGTGGGCATTTAGCACCTACCAGAGAGTACATGGAGCTCTCACCATTTCCCTGCAGCAGGGCTGCTACCAACTATATTAAATACATTGGGAAGGAATATGGGACTAGGGCTGGTTTACTGGAGAAGGAAACCAGTGACAGAGGGAGGCCTACACCATAAGTTTCTTAGGAAAACAATGAAAGCAGCGATTCTAACAGCCCCAACCCTTCATGCTGCAATAACCTATTTTTGTATCTATGTGCTGTACGGAATAGTTCTTATTTTTTTAATTAAAATTCTTTTAAAATTATTTTTGAGATGGTTTTAGGAGAATTTTGTCAAATCTCTGAAGATAATTGGAGATGTCCATAGGTGACCAGGGACTGAAATTTAGTCATTGTCAGACGGTCTCGAAAGATGGAAATATTCTGCTCTTGTTCTAAAGAAACAGCCAGGTTTTCATATGTGTAAGCGGTCAGCAGGCATGGTCTGCTCTGAAGGGGTCACTTCTCAGCTCTTCTCCACTGGGGATAGAGGGGAAGGGGATTGGACTCACTTTTTTTAAAAACCTCAGATAACAAGACATGGACTTGTGAAAGAGTAGGTTATTTTTTTAAAAACCGCAATCTTTTTTTAAGGAGAGGGGTGCAAACCTGTCCATGGGTCTGATTTTTTTTTTTTTTTTTTTTTTTTTTTTTTTTTTTTTGGTCACAAACATTCTAAGAACTGAGCACCTGCCGGGCTCTCCTGTTGCCTTGCCATGTGCCCCATCCCTCCCCTGTGGCATGAGAGGGCCACACTGAGAACACTGGGGATGGTCCAGCAAATGGTCAGACATGCAGGGGAACAAACCTTCTTGTTTCCATTCTGTGATGTCAAGCCCAGCAGCATCACCCGCCTCCACCTGCAGGCAGCTCCTGTGTGTCCCGCCCTGCTCCTGCATGAAGAGCGCTGCGCACCTCAGCTTCCGGGGTGTTATCCACTCCGACGGTTATCCTAATCCAAGATGACCCCTGCACAGACGATTGGAAGCTGGATTTTTGGAAATCTAGCATTTGCTTGAAAGAGAATCGCTGTTATTTACTGCCGCCAGATAAGGATAATGAAAACAAGTCTGCTAACAATAGACTTGGTGTAATGGTTCTAATGCTAATAAGCAACTGCTGGGACACTTCCCATGGTAAATTCCTTTGTGGTTTCGGTGGTGTTATCACACATGGGCCTCACCAAGATGCCGGCCTGGAGAGAACACTCGCTGTGACTCTCCCAGGCTTCAGGAAATGCCCCCAACTTAGAAGCAGTTCTGGGCAAAAGCACACTTTTAGAGGAGGATTTGCTTTTCTTCACTGTGCTTTCACAAGACAGGCCCCAGATCTGCGCTCTTAAAATCCTACATAAGAAGCCCGGAGGTTCTCCCCATGCTTAGCATTGGGCTCGATTTCCTGCAGAGGAAGAGACGGCAGGTAGAGCCACAGGTGATTAAACAGTGATGCCAGACAGTGTGGGGCCAGCAGCATCTTTCCATTTGAAGGGTCTACATATACCACACAGACCACCTATACCTCAGCTGTCTTCCCACCCTACCCTGCTCTGGGGCTTGACCACATCGTCTGAGCCTTAGAGTCAGTTCCATGCACTAGGTGCTTGCACAGGCCAACATCAACCTCTTCTGTTGGCTCCAACTTTGGAATACACCCGAAGCCTTGCTTCTCCAAACAGCTCATTACGAAATAATGGCGCCTCACTAGGTGTGGCTTTACAGCAATGATGTATGACCGAAGGCTACCTCTACCATAAATGTAGCATCCTCAACTACATTCTTTTTAAAGTGTTGTTGGAAACCCATCATCATCCCTTGAGGGTGGATTTTTTTTTTCTTTTTGGAGAAAGCCAAAGCCACTGGGCTCATGCCTGGTGCATGACATGGGTAATCAGTTTCAGGTTTCAAATCATGTGTTTTCACACACATTCGTTTGTCTTTTCCTTGTGTGTTTTCTTACTTGGTACAAACAGTTTGAACAATAACAGTCACAATTCACTGGTTAACTTAAATATATTAGGCAGGTGTTAAAATAAGGAGCAGCAATGTATGGACTATTTTGAAGGACAACAGTATTTGGATGTATAACATTCAACATATTCATTTTAAAGTATTGTTACTGCTATATCCTTAGGCATGGTAAGCTGAGGATATTGTGAGTGTTTGCAAACATACAGAGACCACCTTCACACGTAGAACCCTAGAATCCTACAGTTGGGAAAAAGAGATCTTGGGGGACACCTGGACAGCTCCCCTCCAGGGCAGAACCTTCTGCCCCGTGGGTTCCACATTGCTCTTTGGGGGGCAGAGCATGGTACAGTGTGCAAGAAACAAGCTCTCCAAGTCACCTCCCCCCGTACCTCCATCTCCTCATCTGGAAAAGGAGGGGAGTCATCCAGATGACCTTTAAAAGCATTTCCAGCTCAGTTACTTTGGCCAAGGCCAGTGGGGCTGTGCTGCCATAGTAGTTATAGGCTGTTGACTCCTCTCTCTTCTTTTTCACGTCTGCTGGTTTCTGCCTCTCCTCCTTTGCAACCTTATCTAGATATAATTTGATCCTCTTCTCTCATGGGCCCATAACTTCTCAAGGCCATGTAAGCACCACTTGGCCATTCTTTCCCACTCGTTTTTTACTTTTCGTTCTATTATTTCTTCCTGCCTCCGTGTTTTTTTGTTGGTTTGTTTTCTTTTTTGTCTTTCTCCATTCCACTAGCTCAAATGCCTTTGGGGATAGAGACGGGGTAGAGAAAGAAATAAGAGTAAGGCAACTCTGTTCTCCCTAGCCCAGTGGTTCTCATCTCTGTCCAGTTGTCACCCACCCACAGTATTTCTTGACTCTGCCCCGCTTCCTGCCCAATCTCCACTTGTTCTATTTCTCAAGGTCTAACCCTCTCAGCTCGATGCCTGAGGTTGGGAATGAGAGTCTCCGCCCTTCTGAATGTTTCATTCTGTGACTCACCCTGATGTCCCACTGAGGCGCCTCTTCAATCTTCATGAAGCACAGTGCCCTTCTCACTAGCTGTCCCTCTTCATTCAGCCCTGAAGCTTAAGTGACCTGGTGCCAATTCGATGTACCTCTTGAGAACCACAAGCTGCTTCTCCCGCCATCCTGCAACCTGCTTGGAGTCACTCTGACATCCAGCAGCAATTCAGATAATGCCAAAGTTCTTTATAGAACACAGCATTGTCCAGACCCAGTTAGCACTGACTGTACAGCCTCATGACCAAAGCCGGGCCAGAGCCTCGTGCGTAAGTGAGGAGGGTCCAACCAGCATGAAAAACGAAGGACAGTGACGACATCAGAAGCATTTCTGGGGTGTGGTATTGTTTTTGGACGTTTACAAGACTACTGAGACATATGCAATATTAAGTGGCTTGTGTCTGAGTAGGGAAAGATGATGACATATTTCCCAAAAGAAAATGTGGTTTAGAGGAAGGAGAAAGGCAGCATAGCTCTGGGGAAAAAAAAGTTTCCATTCCTGGCCTTTCTCCAGCACAATTGCGCACCTCGGGGTCTTTCTAGAAGTCAAACGTGTTTCCTCCTCAGGAACTGAAAGTATTTCTGTCTAAGTGTGAGAAAGTTTGAGGGACTTTGATTTATTTTATTATCCATTGTGTTCTAAGCCATATTATTTAATTTTCTGTCATCTTCTAGCTATATCTTTGATCACTTGGGGATTTAAAAAAAGAGCTCCTCTCATTTTATCCTCAAGAAAATATGAAATATCATTTGCTTTACAGAGAAAATATTTCCATGTTATAGATATCTGTTGATTAGATAATTTATCTCCTGTATATACTCAGAAGTAATTTCATTCACATAAACATTTCATATTTCAAATACATTTGTGGATAAATTTGCTTTTCATTCTATTCTCATGCAAGAAAATGAAATAAACTGATTGAATAAAATCATTTTATCATAATTGTCTTGCTGCTATTTTTTTTCACTAACAGTGAAAACTTTTTGTTACTGAAGTATGACTGTAACATCATGAAGCTTCTCCCTTCATGGGGCCAAAAGGTGTGTTTTACTAGCTACACTAGGCTGTCATTATCCAACAAGACTCCCACTAACCAATGAGGGCGCATGAGTTAGTGAAATCCGTGTTCCCAAGCTCGTGAGGTAGAATCATGATGATTGAAATGTTATGTCTTTTGTTTTGTAAGTTGACAGGTTTATTTTCAGAATCTTTCTTTCAACTCAGCCTTAGTTAATCTCATGTTTCCACCTCTTTATGCTACTTCTCTACCCCATATACCCACTTGGGAGACTTCCCGATCTCGTCCCATCTGGGAGAGCGGCAGCTGCACCTTTTCCCTGGTAAAACGTCTTACTTTATTTGCACACTATGAAACAACCAGAAACCAACGGTGCAAACAGGTCATCTCCTCATCCCGGTAAGATAGAAACAGGGTTGACTACCTTCCCTCTTCTCTACCGAGACAGTCTTTCCTCCCTTCTAATTAAGGATTTTCAGAGGGGGTGTGTGCACATGTTCATGTGTGTTTCTATAATTGGGTTTGCAAACTAAAGAGAAAGGTCATCAGTGAAAGTCTGCACGTCATTTGCTTGTGCTGAGGCACATGTGCAAGAAGGACTCGGCGTATGTACTGCAGATATTCTAATTGCATGAAAATTCATTGTGCTTTCATTTCTTATGAACGTAATGGAATCTTGGAACATTAGTTCAACTCCATGTTTTACTTGGAAGTGCTCGGGGAGAGAGCAGCTTTCAGCTTAGGAAATGGTGTCGTTTCAGGTCCTAGGTTCTTTAAAAACAAAACAAAACCAGTGGATCTAATTTTGCAGACTAGACATTAGTGAATATAGCTCATTGTAATGGTGAGTGGCGTTTACATTGGAGAGAGACAGCAGTAAACCCTGTTACCTGGGGAAAGGGCCTCTCCTTAATCTTTGCTCTTTGCAAGCATGCTGAAATCAGTGTTTCCTAATTTTGGGACAATCCTCTCACCTCAAAGTGTTCCTATGTAATTGTGTTACATAATGGAAAATTGTAATAGGCAATTTGGTCCTGTAATTCAGTTTGCAAAGCATGCAAACATAAGATAACTAGGTTAAATGCAAATCGGCATTACACTAAGGTACCGAGATAGGGAAAAAAAAAGATGCTGTGTCTATAACTTAGAAACAACATGAATTTTATTCCCCATGTGCCTCAAAATGTAGAGTTTATTAAAGTTATTTATCTTCTAGTTTAATTTCATCACATACTGTGCATACATATACATTATCTGAGTATGAACACACATGTATTCTTACTGCATATATTTACGATCTCTCATTTGTCATAAGCAGGCTGTAAGTATAGTGTGTTACTTAGGAGTGAGTTGGATGTACTTATTTTATCATACACAGTGTTTTCATAAATTGGCCATCAAAATGTGCTTTAAATCTTTCAAAGCCTGTTATTGTTTGTAACTTTTGCAGGGGAGCAATTAGTTCATTATTTAGAGGTCAATTTTTCTGTTTTTAATGTATTCTCTTAAACAGTGATTGGTATGTACACCACAGTCAGGTATGTACAATTTCATTAAACAACCACTACTGGCCTTAATGATTTTAATAGTTTGGGGTGGTTTTTGTTTGTTTGTTTTCATTTTTGATACAGTATTTTTTTCTAGTACAATGCATCATGGGCCTGGGTATGATTCAGTGAGATTTCTAAATCTTAAGATTTCAACACAATGTAGTACTTTCTGTTCATGCTGTAAAAAGTATTTCTGTCTTTTAAATAAAGAATAAAATTTATGTGAGCTTGTATATGTTTTATCTGATCAACTTCTCTATGTTGATTACTCTTTCATTAGGACTGGTTCCCATAGGTAGAGAGCAAGGATAAGCTTTTTCAAGGTGGCCCATAGACAACTGAAGCCACAGAGGCTGATTCACCGCTGCCTGGAAGGCCCCCATCACCTGGAGACCTGCTGTACCTCAGGGCAGCCAGCCCAGGCCCCACACTGGTTCAGGAGAGAATTTTTTTTTTTTTTTTTTTTTTTTTTTGAGACAGGGTCTCACTCTGTCTCCCAGGCTGGAGTGCAGTGGTGCAATCACAGTTCCCTGCAGCTTCAACCTCCTGGGCTCAAGGAATCCTTGTGCCTCAGCCTCCCGAGTAGCTAGGTCTACAGGTGCACACCACCATGCCTGGCTAAGCTGTGTATTTTTTATAGAGATAAGGTTTCGCCATGTTGCCCAAGCTGGTCTCAAACTCCCGGGTTCAAGCAATCCGCTCTCCTCAGCTTCCCAGAGTGCTGGGATTACAGGTGCGAGCCACTGCACTCGGCCTGGAGAGACTCATTACAGAAGTCCAGGGTTCTCTAAGAAGCTTACTCTGTTCCCCTGACCTTCCTATGATCACAAAGGGGTGGTTTGGTGCAGGCAAGAAATGTGAGATTTGATCAGAGCCCCGAGGGGAGTGTCCACCCAGGGTCATCTTGGGCCAGTCTCTCCTCTAGGGTCTCTGATATGGTTTGAAACTCTGTCCCCACCAAATCTTATGTTGAAATGTAATCCCCAGTGTTGGAGGTGGGGTCCGGTGGGAATGTTTGGGTCATGGGGGTGAATCCTTCATGAATGGATGAGCGCCATCCCCTTAGTGGTGAGTGAGTTCACACAAGATCTGATTGCTTAAAAGTGTATGGCACCTCCCACCCTCTCTTGCTCCTGCTTCTGCTGTGTGATGTGCAAGCTCCCTCTTTACCTTCTGCCAAGAGTAGAAGCTCCCTGAGGCCTCCCCAGAAGCCGAGCAGAAGTCAGCACCATGCTTCTGTACAGCCTGCAAAACAGTGAGCAAATTAGACCTGTTTTCTTCATAGATGACCCAGTCTCGGGTATTTCTTTATACCCATGCAAGAATGGCTAACACAGTCTCCTTCTTGGTCAGTAACCAGAGACAAGAGGGCCTCCCTTCTCTGTTAGGGAGAGGATTAAAATAAATTACAGTGCTTGTCAAAGGCCCTCAGACAGTGTCTGCAGAATCTGGAGTCCTACTCCAGGGTAGTCTACTCCTGTTGGTTGGTTGTGGCTCTAGTTTGAGGGTCACGATTCCTTCTGGATTTTGATCCAGCCCCAATCCTGACCTGCCGATTTCCTACCCAGAGGCCTCTACCCTGTCCCTAATGCTTAGCAATGATCATTGGCAAAGGCAACACGGTTCTCAATGAAAGCAATTCAGGGGGTTAAAGGAGGTAATCCTCCCATAACCGTGTCCTCGATGGCTGGGTGAGGCCAGCAAGGAAGGCCAGTCTTGGGGAGTATTGGGTGCAGGCCTCCAAAGCCGTCTCTCATCATCTGCCCTTGATTTGCTTACAACTTAATAGACTGAGAATTTTAATCTTGCTACTTGCCCCGCCTTGAACAAAATGATTTCCAAGCTCATATCCATCCTCTCTCCCCCAGCACGGGTCCACACTGAATGACCTCTCTCATACATCCAGGAAGTCTAAGTCTCTGAGCCAACACAAGTAAATACACCTCCAAGTGCCCTCACTTACCCGGATTTAAGGGTCCCTTCTCTGAGTCTGCTCTCCTCCAGTAGTTAGACACAAGCTCTCAAAACCCAGCTTCTTTTACTAGTTTTTTCTCATTACAGTTGTACAAACAATAGTATCCTACCTATAAATGATCCAAGATGAAGAAATCCTGACATAAATGTTATATTTTTCTGTCAAATCTGAACACAGATTTGGCCACCTGAACACCTGAACACTTTCAGGCCTAGAAAAGGAGAGAAGCGGCCAGGCACGGTAATTCACACCTGTAATCCCAGCACTTTGGGAGGCCGAGGCAGGCAGATCATGAGGTCAAGAGATCGAGATCATCCTGGCCAACATGGTGAAACCCCATCTCTACTAAGGACACAACAATTAGCTGGGCGTGGTGGTGCATGCCTGTAGTCTCAGCTACTCGGGAGGCTGAGGCAGGAGAATGGCGTGAACCCAGGAGGCGTAGGTTGCAGTGAGCTGAGATCGTGGCATTGCACTCCAGCCTGGGCAACAGAGTGCAACTCCAACTCAAAAAAAAAAGAAAAAAAGAAAAAAGAAAGGAGGGAAGCATCTTGCCCTGGGAAAACAGTTGTGCCATGTGGATGATTAGACATCATGGAGAGACGGGATCAGCAGTTAATGAGCAGAGTGAGGCTCAAAGTTGATGTACAGGTGTGTGCACATGGGAACGTGCCTATGTACGTACACTGCCCCCCTCACTCCCTGTTTCTCACAAGCCAGAAGACAGACTGGACCAGAAGCCACAAGCCCAGATTTCAGTCCTGGCTTTCTCACTGACCAGATGAGGGCTTTGGGCAAGCCAGTTCACCTTTCCAGACCCCAGACCCCAGGGAGTTGGACTAGACAAGGTCCACGTTCCGCAGCCCCACCCTGGCCTGCTCTAATAGCCCCTGGGTCTATGACTTAGCTGCAGAACGGGCTGTTTATGACTAGATTCATGACCTTGAGAGTCCTGAGCTGGTGGGACTCATCGGGGCTCTGTAGGGAAGAGAGGAATTATAGGAGATATATAGCTAAGACCAAGATGACCTACCTCAGGGGTCTCTCTCCTGATTATCTAAGTAGTAAAGTATTTCTTAAGACCAGAATGGAGTTGATTTTCTTAGGCAAGTTACCGGAAAAGAGAATTTCCCACATACTATGTGAATCACTGTGAAAGAGATATTGCTCCGTTCTAGGAATTTAAAGTGCCATCACATATGTTGAGCATGGGCAGATCCTGCCTTCTGATCTCTGACTAAGAACTTCCATTCATTCTAGTGCTCAATGAACTCGAACATTTTCCCATTACCCCTTTCATTAAAAAATCATTTTTTAAGTAGAATTGCTTTTCTCCTTGAACTCTTCACCAAGGTTGATTCGATATCCATTTAGGAGTGGCTCCTAACTTATTGTTAACCTATTAGTGGAAGCAATAAAAAATACTGAAAAATGAGTGTTATTTAAATGAGAAATATCTCTGTAAAATCCCCCAGGGTTGGTGGGATGGAGAAGTGGTTCTGACAGCATCTCTGTTGATGGTTTCAGACTATCAGGTTTGGCAACAATGTTTTGTTAGCAGCAGTTAATCAGCGAATCCCATTACTTAATAAGGTTATCACTCTGAGCAAAAGCCGCAAATTACGATCTCTTTCTCTCCAGGCTGAAGACAACATCCTTAACATTTTACATTTATAAGTAATATCTCGTTAGCAGAAACAGGGTAAACAGAAGCACATGGGAAATGCCTTTTGTGTGTAATTCAGGATGATATTTTCATTCAGAAATTTCAAAGTCATGTAAACCTGCCCCCCTGCCAAACTCCTCCATTATTTGGTGCTGGTTTGGACTGTATATCCTAAAGAGGTAGGAAAACACACCTTTTTTCATCATCAGCTTCAGGAGATACCCTGTCATGGCCACCAAGAGTAAATTCACAGGCTTGTAAAAGCCTAACTCAAGTCACTGCCAACCCTAGGTGGCTCTGCTCATCAGCCTTGTCCAGTGATTTAGTGATGGGGGGAGGGCTCCTCTCTTTTAACAAAACCATCTCCATTAACCCCTGTGATTCTCACTTGCCATTTCATCATGGAATAGTCTATGAATTTTGTCTCAACACTCTCTCACCCTCCCCGCTCCACCCCTTGACTCATGTTTGTGTTTAAATTCCATAGCATCAGCGGCCAAATTTCCTCTGCGTGAGTTTATGCATATTCACCTATCCCTTTCCCTGTCGGGCCCAGGAACCTCCTTGAAGTCTCAGGTTTTGCTGAACTCGTTGACGTCAGCCTTGACCTCCCACCACGATGGCACTACTGTCCCATGTGGCATAATGGTGAGAGTGTCATGCAGCGGACAGGAAGTGCTGTGGGAGCTCCTTCCAGTCCAGGGGTTGGATGGGGGGAGTGGGGGGGGGGGCGCGCAAGGGAAGCTGCTCCCTTGGTGAAAAATACAGGACAGGAGGTTCTTGGGAGAAAGGCATCTGGAAACCAGGAGGGTATGCAAGGGAGGCTTTCTAGCCGACATCACCTCCAGAGGGGCAGGGCTGTGTCTGAGCACATCCCCTGCACTCACAGCTGCGTGACCCTGCAGACCTGCTCTTCCATCTCCATCATCTCTCCAGTTCAGCAGTTGTTGCCTTTATTTTTTCTTTTTGGCTCAGAAAGCTGCAGAGGGGAGGAACTTGAGGGTATTTTTTTTTTCTGGCATGTTTTCTGTGTGCATGTACTGTCTCTACCTCATTCCAGTTGTTGATGACATTTTCCTTCCCGCCCTTTCTCTCCCCTCACCCCACCCCTCTCACCCACCCCTCCCATGCACTTTCCAGTCCGTAGCATTTTTTTAGAGCTGCATATAATTTCCCCAGGGAGAGACTCTGTGTTTTCTGGCTGACTTATTCTTTATATATTCCCAAACACTTTTCCCCTTTCGGTTGCACCTCTGCATCCTTCCTCCACTTGGCTCTTGAAGCGTTTTTTTCTTGGTGTTTTATTTCTTCCCCTTGCCTCCTCCACTCCCGCCCCCAGTGAGAACATCTCTGTGCATGTCTTACAGCCTTACATTTTCCACCAAAAAACACATTTCCAAGGGGCCTTAGTGACTTGTGAAAATTCCTTCCAAACCTGTCTCCTGGAAACAGGATGGCAGATGAAAGATTTCTTCATTAAAATTAGACACTTTAAAGAGGCATCCAGTAAAAGCTCTGAAAATCCCCAGTGGGTCTTTGTCTGCATCATGCTGGTGTGGAAGCTAGCAGGGAGGCCAGGGCTTCA